TAACAGGTGTACACAGCACATGTAAATAATCCTGGCCAAGAAAATCCTCCAAAATTTGTAGCCTAAGAGAAGTCATGTCCAGCAAAGGACAAAATGCTCTGCCGTGTGCAAGTCTGATGGCTTTTCCTGCAGGGTTTCCTGGAAAGCTCCCATTTTGGAGCCAGAGAAGCCTTCTTCTAAACCACCCATTACAGTTAAGCCTTTGAGGCAGTGCTGTCCTGTATATATTTATCAGACCCCTAGAGGTTTCTTTATTCCTGAAGATGCCAGTCATTTTACTCAGAAGCAGCTTTGAATCCTACTGAAACTTGCACAACCATCTCTGAAAGCAATGTCAAATAAATGTAGTTCCAGACCCTAGTATTGGCTATTGCTTTAAATCAATCACCAGTTTAACTGTGAAAAAATGACAAAAAATAACCCAAAATAAGCTTTATTGCAAGAAAAAGTGTTGTCTTACTGATACAAATGTTCAAGAGAAAGCTTTTTTTCTTAAAACATCTCTTTTCAAAATCCCCAAACTCAACAAAAGAGAAGAAAAATCACTGAGTTTTACTTGGTATAGTCTTTGGTCAGCACCTACATGCAACTGGAACAATCCTGGATGTGCTTTGGCTATTTTCACATGTGAGATTCTGTTGCATGGCCAGTTACAGGCACCAGCTGCCACAGAAAGCACCATTAAGACATACACTTAACACATGACAGTACAAAATGTAAAAAGAAAAAAAAAAATCACTAAACTAAAACTCAAGTCATTGTACAATCATCTTTCTTACAGAACAAGCTATGATAAAATGAGGCGTGTATAACTACAGCATTAATGAGATTTCTAACAAATGAACTTCAAATACACAGCTCTCCCCACCTGCACTGCAATAATTGAGTTTGCAGGTGTGGCAGTCCTGACACAGCACTTGAGGATCAGGAAATGCACCCTGGTTTTGAGCCAGCACCAAACAGAGTGAAACATTCTCTCCTGGGAGACATTTCCTTCAGCTGCCTGCAAGAATTAATGCCAGTTTGTGGAGCACCTTTCTGAGCGTGAGGTGTGGCTGCCTGTGCTGGCTCATGAGGTCACTGAGGGAAGGCAGCACAGTTTGGTTCTGCAGTTCTAAGGGGATGATTAAAAACAGTCCAGGTATTTTGCTACAGGGCTTGTGCCTCCTCCACTATTTGCTGTGGGTGATTCAGAACGCAATCCCCTTGAGCTGCTGTGAAATACAATCTCTGCAGAGACTGATATTATGATACTTGTCCTCTATGACTTTTTTTCCCCTTTTTTTTTTGCAAGAGCACCTTAGAATATCCTACTATGTGGACACTTTACAATCTCCCACTTCAGAATATCCTACTACACTGATGGTTCAGCTCTGATATATTTTAGAATTACTTAATACTGTTTAGATGCTGGTCCAAATAGAAAAGAAACCATCTTTCAAATCTACTTTTTTTCTTGATTACAAAAGTACCTCTAAAATGTTATACCTCAAATTTATAAAACTAAAGAAAAACAAGAAAGTTTCCCTTTTGTTTACATAATTTGTTATTTTTTTTCCATATATTACTGCATTAAAAATAAATAAACTTCTATAATTTTTTTTCTCATTAGGAACTATAGCAAAATACCCAAAGTGTTACAGATTGCTAACAAGAAAAAAAAAAAAAAAAGCTCACATTTTTTTGTACCATTTAGTGCCATATGATGACTTCTTGAACTTTAGCTTTTAAAATACACTTCAAATCGAGGTTATATAAAAGACACAGTAACCATGATTTGCCCTTGTAAGTAGAAGTTTTGGCAGGGTTTGAAGTCACCCTCCAGCGTTGGCAGGATGGAAAGAAGGGCTCTTCCCCTCTGCCGTCCTCTCCCAAAACACACTTTTCCCGGCGGGTTCTCCTTGCAAACAGCTGTTGCGGGGTGTGTGGACACAAGGAAGTCTGGAGAACAGCACTAGTAGAGGTGCAGCCACAGCCGCACCCTGAGGGCTTCTCCTCGGGCGCCGCCGCCCCCATGGCCGCCCTGCGGCCTTCCGTCCTCCTCAGGCACGGCCGTGCTGGTGATGTCCAGGGCGTGCAGCCCGCGTGCCGCCCGGCCCCTGGCGGCGTGCAGGCGGCCGGCGCCGTCCCTCAGGAGCATCCAGAAGGTTCCGCGCCGGCTGCCGCGGGCGATGGCGTAGCGCACGCGGCGCCCCAGGGCCGGCCGCAGCTCCAGGATGGGCTCCCGGCCGCCCAGCCTGGACATGGCCACTCGCACCTTCAGGGGACTCTCCAGGCTTCCCCAGCTCACCCGCTCCTGGAGGGAAAAGTGTTTACAGCAGGATGGTTAACACGTCCTGCCTCGGCGCCCTGCAAATCCTGAAGGACGCAAGCCGGCTTTACAGCTAGATTTCAGCTAATTTTGAGAACCTGTTTAACTCCATGCTTGCAAAGAGGCCCCAAACACTCCTCCGAGTGTTACCAACAAGTGTTTGAGATCTCTTAAAAACCCACCAGGTGTCACAGTGAGCTCATGGGCACTCTATTTCCCTTCCCCGGGACCCTGAGACTCTGCTCAAGATAACCCTGGACCCTCCTTCCTTCCCCAACAGGGTTGGTGGAGAGCCAAGGAAACCCACCCTGTCCAAAGTCTATACAGACCCCTGACATTTCCTGTTCATTCTCTCTTGTACCCCGCTCTCCCCTAGGACATCACAGAATAAAGAGAGCTGAACCAACATATATTGGGGTAAGAGCCTCTTTTGGAAATCTTTGCCATCTCCTGATATTCCTCCCCTCACAGCCTCGGACCTCTGGGCTAGCCTGATATTCAGGGGCTGTGCGAGGTGGGGGAACGTCAATCAGGGTATTAGCAGAAGCCAGATTTCATTCTCAAGACAAGGATTTCTCAGACTGCACTGCAGCCTGGAAAAGAGGAGGTGCGCAGCACCACAAGGAGAAACCTGTGTTTTCTGTGTTTATACACAATGTAATTGTCTTATGACCAACAGAAACAACAGAGAAATGCATTTCACAGCACTGCATGGAAATTCCCTGATACCTTCTCTGAAAATCCCATACTGTACCGGTATGTAATGCAACTAAAAAAGCAAAGTGAAAATAAGGAAAATTTCAGGACAGGAACAAGTAAGGCAGTGCTTAAAAAACTGAAACCCAAAAAAGAAGAAAACGAATTAAAAAGTTTTCCTTTTTCAAAATAATTAAGGAAGGTGCTTTCACTGCCTAGGAAGTTCTAGAAACTGACAAGGTTAATGGTATTTTAAAAGTCTAATAACAAGATGTAACAATTACAAACTAGATATGATTTCCCATGTAAGCCCACAAAATGCAGCAAGAAAAACATTAAATGTGTAATTCTCTAAAACCTTCATCAATTCTGTGAATATTGGACTTCAGTCAGCCCAATCTAACCCTCACCTCTATGAGCAACTATGGAACAGACACCAAGACTAAAATGATCTCCTGCAAGATCTGTTTAGCTGTCCCAGACCATAAATGCTATCCAGCCTCCTCCTGGCAGCAGAACATACTGAAGACATGTCCAGTTTCCCAGGTCTCTGCAATTAAAGGAGAATTATTCCCCTGAAGGCACTCTGAGGAACTAGACCATATCTCACACTCCAATGGAATCTTTGCAAGCTTCAAAAACTTCATCCTTACACAGCTCTTAATGTGTTTCCTATTGACAAATTATTACTGCCAGCAGGACCTAGGTGAGGCAGGGGGAGAAAAGAGATTTTTGCCATTGAATGTGACCTGTTTAAAAGCTTCCCTCTATTTATTGCTGTTGTCATAGCTCTGAAAATACCTCGAAAAACATTACAGCAGTTTTTTATCCTGGTACATACAGTGTTAGCACTTCTCTTCTTCCTGCTGTCTTTTTTGGAGTAGCCATTGATTTTGCACTCATAACACACTTCAGGGGACAAAGCATTTTCTTTATCAGCATCTCCATCCAGTGGCAGGTACTGGCCTTTGTTAAATCCCATCCCCGAGACACAGTGTCTGTGGAATGAAAACACGTGTTTTAGTTACTCCTTGCAATTTTATGAACTGTCCTTGCTAAATGGAGTGTGTGTAATCTGTGCCACGGTGTTTGCATCCCATTCCTTACTCTTGCCTCAGCAGGAAGGCTGTGCATTTATTTCCTTTACACTAGAGAGGTTTACTCAGGGAAATACAAATGCTGGGTGGACGCTTTTAGCCTGATCTAATTTTAATTTACAAATTCTACAGAGAAACCAAACAAAGCCAGCCTGCCCTGAACCAGAGGAATGTTAACTTGTTTTTAATATTCCGGATTGGTCAGTGATATTTAAACACCTTAATTATCTCAGTAACACATAGTTCCCATCCTTATGCATTATCAAACCCCACTCAGCAGGTCTGTGAAGGAGTTCACATGCTGATACTGGAGGAGAAAGCAGACCTTGTTTAACGTTATTTATATGCTACATTTAAAATTAATGTCATGTTGAATGTACAGACATTTTTTTTTCCTAGTTTCTGGATATTTAACCTGAAACTACAAAGGACTTAGCAACTTGTCCTTACTTTTCACCTCTGCACCTTCTGAATGTGTCTTTGGTGAAAAGCTGTGTGGAGAAACTCACCCTTGTCCAACTCTGTAATAGCCAGGTGGGCAGCCACAGAGGTAACCACCCTCGGTGTTGGAGCAGCCATAACTGCAGGGGTTCTTGGCAGAAGAGCACTCGTTCACATCGTGGCAGGCATGGGAGAACTGGTCATAGGAGAACCCCGATGGGCAGACACACCTGTAACTTCCCAGGGTGTTGTAGCAAGAAGCAGAGCCACACATGTGAGGATTGGAGCATTCGTTTTCATCTGGCAAGAAAACACAAAAATATTGGTGTTTTCTAGTCTGAGAGACAGCAGGTCAGCATCATGCAGCTGACAAATCAGAACATCTGCAAGTTCCAGGGCTCTGCTACATCCCTGACCTCATCATCCTTGGTTTCTGATAGAGAAAAGGAGCATCATCTTCACTTGTGGGTGTTAAAATACAGCGAACATGATACCTCCAGTCAGTGTGATTTGATGTGGTTTCAGGAAAAAAAAAACAACCCCAAAAAAAAAACCCAAAAAAACCAACCAACCAAC